TCCCATATGTCCAGTTGGATTTCATGTTGTCTGAAAGCTATTGGTCCCCCCCACAACACCCACCAGTATTCTTTGTATTTTTCCACAGGGTTAATTACCTGGCATATGGGATGTTGGACAGCATCATGTGTGTTCTGGTGTGAACATTCATGTTATTGGAAATCTGACCCCAGGTCCCTCTAATCCTGGTTCCTTTGTGGCTTCTACTGTGCTAGGATGGGGTAGAGGATGACAAACAAAACAAGACTCCACCCTGTTCTCTGTAACAAGGTGTCCCCTGGGGCTCAGGTACAGGCTCTTTTGACGGGTCACCCTTTAAGTATGTGAAGGGTCCGACCCCATGCCCCAGTCACCCCTACCACTACCAAGTAATTCATCACTTTCCATGGCCATGCTTGCAGAGAGCTGTGCTGTCCTAGGCCCCAGACCTCATGCATGACAAACTCTTCCTCACACTGCAAACTTCTGAGCATATTTTATTCTTCATGTCTTCCCAGCTGTTTTCTGTCAGTTCCAGCCCACCCTTTTGTTCACAATGTTTTCAGTGAAGTATGGGGCTGGTTCATTTTCAAATTAACTACCCTCATCTTTTGTTATTGCCTCCTTTGGGTTTGAGTCAAATATTGCATTCTCTTGTATTCAATTTAATGAAGTACACATTTCAGATGAACCAGAAAACTGCTGTATGGCATCAAACTGCGTGAACAGCACCCATGCACCATTCCTGAAGGAGCCCTGAGAAAACTGGGGTGATAGTATGCAGGAAGGGTTACCTCTTGTTGCCCCCCTCAAATGTGTCTGCTTCCTTAGATGCTTTTGTTTCCATTTCTTTTTATTCCTGTCCTTCATAAAAGTGCCTCTGATCCTCTCTGTGGAAAATAGTAGGTTTTCTATCCATGTCATATGTGAGCGAATCTTTTCTGTCTGTAATAAGTTCTCAGTGAGTTCTAACAATTTAGAAAGGGAAAGGGAATGGCCACACACTGAAAAGGTGTGTGTGTGTGTGTGTGTGTGTGTGTGTGTGTGTGTGTGTGTGCCCGAGCACTTTTTGCCACACATCAGAAAGGTCCTTTGCCCAGATGCTGCGTAGCAGGACAGTTAATCATCAGATGGAGGAGACAAGGAGTATTTATCTTGCAAGCAGTGAGCCCTGCTAGAAACATATTGTCTTGGGTTTGTCTCTCATCTAAATTCTTGCTCACCTCCAAATGTGTCATGGATCTAGTCTCTGTGTTGATCAGCTCCCTCTGTGCCCTCCCATAAACAAAAAGGGAAAATGTCTTCAGTGCTCTGTCATCAAGATGCAAAGACAAAACCAGAGAGGAGACTGATGGTGGAGCCTTTGTGGGGGGTCGAAGTCAGGTTGTAAGGCTTGCACAGCCATCTTGCCTCCCCTTGTCCCCCTTTGAAGCACTCCTGTGGGATAGCTTCTCACTTCTTGTGCACTCTCTCCCTGCCCCTCAGAGTTGGCCCTCCCAGTATTCCACTGCAGCATAATAAATCACTTCAGACGCAAACCTTCCAGTCACAGTCGTTACACAGAGTCTCCATGGATTGGTCAGGCTTACTGGCTGTGATCAACGACAGCCATGGTGTGATCTTGTCCTAGGCTTAAGTCCAAGCCTATGCTCACATAGGCAGACTTCTGCATGCATCTCAGGAGTGATATCTCATATTACTGACTGTTGATCAGGGGCAGCTCTTGGCTGCAAGAGGCCATCTCAAGCCCTAGCCACTTCCTCAAAGCCATCAGTCTGCTAAGACCATGGTGTGCATAAGGTAACCATGGAAGTGACTGTAGTCACTTCCCACTGTAGTCACAGGTTTTCCCATACCCATATGAAAGGAGTTATATAGGTTGTCAACACCATCTGGACAGTCCGTGCGTTCTGCCCACCACAGCCCTTTTACTGTGTGAAGACTTGACTCTCAATGTAATTTGATTTAGTTCTATGTCTATAGATGCCATTTACACAATATTTAGAGTCACATTAGCTCACAAGGACACCCAGAGGCATCTCTAGCTTAAACTCTCCAACCTCAACAGTTGATTCTTATGTTAGGACTGTCTAAAGTTGTATATTGTAGAACCTTGACTGGCAAGTAAGACATTTATTGTTGTTTGCTATGATAAATCTTTCTGCCAAAGCCACCTGAATCCTACCACCACGTAGGCGATCTTGCCAGCCGCCTGAGTTCTGCCCGCCACATGGATGGACAAAATAATACACAGACTTCTATTAGGTACCAATGCTACTTGGCCAATGATTAGGATTTCTCATCTGTTAGCTCAGTCTTAATTATCATAAATCTATATATTTTATAAGACTTACCTTATAGAGGATGCCTTCTGCTGGCACCCTCTCTTGCTGGTGGCTCACATGGCGCCGCTGGAGGAGGCCAAGGGGAAAAGGGGCCACTTCCTATATCTCCTTGCTTAAATATGAGTCTCCTTGCTGTGTCACTTCCTGCCTGGATCACCACTTCTCTACTACATTTCCCAGAATCCTCTTTGACTCCTAGTCCCTTCTAACTTGCTGCCTCATTGACCAAACAGTATTTTATTTATCATCCGGTATGATTGTTAATTTTGGACGCTTTACACTGTTAGGTTTTAATCCTCTTTTAGACTAAAAGGGAAATTGTAGGGGATGTTGTAGCCACTACTCCTTAGGGGCTGGCTACAGGTGTGCCTGCGAGGGCATGGTCAGGGTGACATAGAGTGAGAGGTGGTCAGGTGGCAGGTTTTGGTTTCGGTTTCACTTTTGGCTTGCTGTACAGACTGCTGCCCACTGGCTGGCTAGTTTGCTCTGTAAGTAAGGCTTTTTCCCTAGTAAAATCCTTTCTTTTTCCACCTGGCTCCGTATTGGTAATTTCCCACATTAGTTGTTATTCTCAGGAAAATTAAAGGCAAGCAGCCCAAGGGATGGAGCAAGCCTCAGTATCCATTGTCCTAAGGTTGTGACTTTCAATTGCTTATTACAATGTAGCTGCAGCCATTTCAGGCCTTGCTTCACACTTCTGGAAGGAACAAATCCTACTGTCTTTCTGGGAAAACAGAAGTTCTAGCCAGTAGACTTGTGCTACACTTTAATTAACAGCTGTGTCATAATGACAACAGTGATGATAAGGGAATTTAGGAAATTTAGGTTTAACATGTTGAACTCTGAATGACATTTTCTCCTATTCACAGGGGATTAAATATAGGTGACAGTGGTTATACATGCAAAACAGTGTCGACAGTAACAGCTGAGATTTTGTTGTTCTTTCATGGAAGTGATCAGGCTCCTATTACTTTACCATTCCCAACACCACACAGCTTGTGCCTCATGGTGGAAGGCGTCTGGTCTGCTCCCATCCATTGCACAGGCCATATATGTAAAGAGTAGAAGAATTGAAGGAAGGAAAGGTCCCCCTCCCCTTTATGACATCTGAGAGCCCTTCTTCAAATAGGATTGATGCCTTCTCTACTTACCCCCCCCATGACCAGGAGTCAGTCACATTGTTACGAACAGCAGAGGATGGAGGTGGGGAGACTGTGTTCTTCATTCACCAAAACCAGGAGTTGAATCCTATAGCACCCAGGCACCATAGATTTGGGGAATAACTAGTAGATTGGGCATTGTGATGGCCATTCTTGGTTGTCTACTTGACTACATCTGGAATTAACTAAAATCCAAGTGGCTGAGTACACCTATGAGGGCTTTTTCATAATTAAACCATATGAAGTGGGAAGACCCACATTTAATCTGGATCTTTTGAGATGGAAAGATAGGAAGATCCACTTTTAATCTGGGTGACACCTTTTTGGTGACAGCCTATATAAAGGATGTGGAGGAAGCTCTTGTTCTTTGCTTGTTTGCCCTCACTCTTGCTGGCTAGTCCATTCCTTTACTGGCATTATAGCACTTTTTGAAGATATGTGTTATTTTGTAGCTCTAACTTCACTTTGAATAGCTTTTTTTAAAAAAATAAGTTTTTATTTTATTTTGTGTTTGGGTGTTTTGCTTTCATGTATGTCTGGGTACCACTTGTGTGCTTGGTGCTTGAAGAGGTCAGAGGAGGCTCTCCAGACCCCTGGAATTGGGGTTACAGATGGTTGTGAGCTGCTATGTAGGTGCTGGGAATTGAATGCTGGTCCCCTGGAAGAGCAGCCTGTGGCCTTAACCATGGAGACAGCTCTCCAGCATCAGAATATTTTTTTTTTAGTGTCACTCCTCAAAAGGACCTCCTAGACATCCTAACTCAAAATTACCCTTCAGTTTGCATGAGGAGAGCTTGCAGCTACTCTTATGGATTTTTGGAAGGAGTTGCCTTTTTCTGTATTTTAAAATTCTCTTCATTTCAGAAATCTAAAGACCCTCTCCTGAGTGTTGTTCTCCAATTCATGTGACATTTCTGGGGACAGTGGTCAGAAATGACCATACTTTGTTCTCTTTTTTAATGTGAAAAGTATGTGTAGAAGGACTTTTCCTTTTATTAGAAAACTAGATTAAGCGGGCATTGGTGGTGCATGCCTTTAATCCCAGCACTTGGGAGGCAGAGGCAGGCGGATCTCTTTGAGTTTGAGGGCAGCCTGGTCTCCTGAGCAAGTGCCAGGATAGGCTCCAAAGCTACACAGAGAAACCCTGTTTCAAAAAACAGAGAGAGAGAGAGAGAGAGAGAGAGAGAGAGAACTAGATTAAACGCTTGTGTTAATGTTGCTATGAAACAAATTGATTTTTGAAACTTACTTTGCTTTCCTTTTAGCTCAAGTATTAGACTTTTAATTTTTCAGAAAAAAAAAACTCATTTTAAATCTGAAATAACCATCATAACAACTAGGAAACAAAAAACCCATTTGTCCTGAAGCCTGAACAATCAAGATACCTAAGTAAGAAATGTTTGAATAACTTTTTGGCATATTTTAACCATGGTTTATTTTGCTTAGTTGGCTTTTCTTTGTTCCAAATGATTTTATTACAATTAACAGACGTCTCTTTTCCCTTCTGTCTTGGAAGCTTAAGAAATGTATAAAGACTCCAGAAATCCCCTCTAAACACGTCAGGAATTGGGTCCCCAAAGTACTGGAACAACGGCGGCAAGGCCTGGAAACGTACTTACAGGTAAGAGGTGTTTAGCTCCTCAGTGTAACAGTGCCTAAAACATTGTCTTACTCTGTTGGCTCAGAATATAAGTGTGTGACACCAAATACTGATCAACAGCTGGAGATCCCAAGAGACAGGCTGTTTGCAGTTACAAATATTGCTATCCATTGGTTCATTTAGCTTTTATTGGATTCTGTTTAAAGTTGCTTATGCGTTGGCTAAGTGCACTTAGTGTCATTGGAAGAATGCTATTGAAATGATCTGTCCATTTTTAAAGTCAGCTGTACAGATGACTGTGTTTTCCATGAAATAACTCTGTTTTCTCAACCCTTGGGTTTTAGATGTCCTTGGGTTTTAGTTAGAATCCTGGGAGAAAAGAAGTCTTAAGTGGGGCAGGCTAAGATATGTGTAAAATCCCACCAAGACTGTATAGAAATTGCCCCTGAGAAAGTGCCGACTTCCTTGGAAGTTAGAATCTATGTCTAGAGTGGTGGTTCTCAATCTGTGGGTCACAGCCCCCTGGGGTAAATGACCCTTTCACAAGGATCACTTTCCATAGTAGGATAACACTGATACTGACATTACAGTTTGTAACAGTAGCAAAATTACAATTAAAAAGTAGTAACAAAAGTAATTTTATGGTTGGGAGTCACCACAACATGAGGAACTGTATTAAAGTGTCACAGCATTAGGAAGGTTGAGAATTACTGGTCTAGAAGGAATGCATGAGGAAGCTGTATGCTTTCTCTTTGAAGGACAAACAGAACTGAGTGAGATAAGACGAAAGTCTCCTACCCACAAGTGACAGAGAAGGCAAGGGAGAGAATAAGACACTGTCCACTTCTCTAAGTTTCACAAAACCCCTGAAGTCTCAGGTGACTATTCCATGGAGTCCTCATTAAGTGCATACATGGGCAGGGCAGGTGCAGAGACAAACAGGCCCAAATGGTCAGGCATGTACTACATTTAGTCCCATTTGAGAAGTGATATGTGGAGGGAGAACATAGCTTAGTGAGGAAAGGAATCCTGCCTCAAAAAAGAAGGATGCAAATATGTTGTGCATACCTGTAACCCCAGAGCTTTGGGATGAAGATGTCTGGAGATATACCTATAATCCCAGCACTTTGGAGGCTTGAGCAAGAGCATCAGAAATTCAAAGCCAACCTGGCCTGCACAGGGAGACCCTATCTCAAAAAAACAAGGCAGAAGAGCCAGACTTCATGTAAGAGTTAAGAAGACTTACCCTTTTAGGATTATTACATTAGAGAAATTGGCAGCATCGCCATGTCCTTGTGGTCCCTTCAGGCTTTAGTAACTGCAGGGTGGACCTAGCACAGGAAAGAAGCTGGGAGCTGTAGAGCTTGTGTGCCTGTCCCCATATAGAGCTCTATGAAGGACTGGGTGTGAGTCACTGGTGGCTGATGCCCAGTGATAAAGTAGAGGACGCTTTCTTGGTGGAAAGAAAAATTCCAGGTGTCAGCTCCCCAACCTTCTCTTATGTCCTAGTCTTTCAAGGAAGACAGACAGAGGCAGGAGCTCTGAAGAGGATGCTGGGGAGGTTTTGCTATTGGGGGCTGGTGAAAGGATTTTACACTGTGTCTCTGGGTGTGGAGCTCCTAAAAGAAACTGGAATCGCAAATCTAAGAATGCGTGTGGCCTTCTCTGAGATTCTAAGGGCAGAGCTATCAGGATTCCATAGCTCCAGGCAACAGTTGAGAGCAAACAGCAAACCAAAAGCCAAGAGAAAGCGACCTAAGAAATTGTATGCAAAGGGTAGAAGGCATGCTGTCTGTAATTGGATGGGATAGCTAAACAACACACTTGCATTTGTAGGCCAGATTTTCCACAGATATTGTGTATCTTCAGGCTGTAGTTCTAAAGAAAGCTTTATCCCCACCCCACCCCACCCCCATCGCATTTGACACATGACTTCCATTACTCCTTAGTGTAAACATTTTAAGTTGTTTGTGCTTCATATGTAAATATGTGGGTAAAGTCATCTGGCACAGAGGGGAGCTTACAATGATGCTCAAATTGAGCTTAGAATTTTCTATTCTCAGAAAAAGGCTTGAAAGATGTGGTTGAGGGCTGAGAGTACTTGCTTCCTGCTGTGTGTTTCAAATTCATGTTGGTGTCACTCAGTGACTTGAAGACCCAGAGGACTTTAGGGAAAGCCCTTTTTCTCCCTTTGGCAGTAGGAGCTAGGTGGAGGTTGCTGTGAGGCGCAGAAGTGAAGGGCAGAATCTTGAAATTAGTCAGTTCTTGCTTCTTATGTCTTGATGAGATAGACAGCATTTTTGTTTCTTTCACTGCCTACCTAACTCCAGGGAGTCCCATTCACCCTCAGGACCAGGCTGAACCCCAGGGAGTAGCTGCCACCATCTCATTAGACAGCATCCTTCAAGTCAGTTCAACCTGTGCTACACAGTATGTCACTGACCTGGCCCATGGCCTGACCAAATACTACTGTGTCCAAGGGCCACAGGGGCCTAGATGACCCACTCCAGCTCATTTGCTGCCTGTCAGAGTTCATAGTCACCCCTGTGGTGGTCTGTCTCTTGACAAGGTAGGGGCAAATGACCCTTCTGTTCTGGAGGACAACTGGTCACCTGTGGCTGCAGCCCCACAAATTACCTGTGGTGGCCCACACTGCCATTTTCATTAGACTTGGGGAGACTGAGAAACCTATGTCACCTCTGAACTACGTTTGTTAAAGTGCTCAGAGTGGACTTCTATTTTCCTATTGCCCAATATGGACTCTTTTCATTATGCACTGGTGATTTTCTAAATTAGGAAAATTTTCCTTCTTGATAGTTTTATAGAGATACATAACAGTAGGTATAAGATAAGACTTCATAGTGATCAATATTAGTTTATCAGACTGATTCTCCCTGATTGGTTGATTGAATAGTTGATTGCTGAGTGTTTTTTTTTCTTTAATTGTGTGTGTGTGTGTGTGTGTGTGTGTGTGTGCGCGCGCGCGCGC